CTTTGTTTAAACACTTACAAGCAATTACCTTTTAGAATACTAGGCTTGCTTTAGGTAACCACTTCAAATTGTCTCCAGCAAACTGTTAGGGAGCTGTGTCACTTTCCCTAGAGTGACATGAACAATATCTCCTCACCCCAGGATGGGGGTGATGGGGTGCCCGGGACTGCCTAGAGAAAGGATTCTGTAGAAGGCTAGCTTAGTGAGTCAGTGAGTTTCCTGGGGACACTTATTGCAGCATGGGTGGCTTACATGCTCCACCCATGTGAGCAGCTGCACCACTGAGAAGTCCACCCCAGAATGAGTGACAAGTCACAAAAGCTGCATCCCTGGGGCTCCCTAACACCCTGTAGTCAGCTGAGATGATCAGAGAGTCTCCCTGTTAGTTGGAAACTCTGCTTAGACCCCATTCTAAACCCCACCCCTTCTCAGAAAGCCCACCAAGTAGACCACGCCTACAGTGTATTTAACACCCTCTCCCTAGGCCCTAGGCATGATTTCCCTCCTGCTTCCCTCAAGATCACCTGGGAGTGCTTTGCTCAGATTAAGTCTGGTCTTATTAATTTGACTTGATCTGGCTTATTGCATCGGCAGAGAAACCCACTACAGAGGATTCAAAATACTTATTACTCCTGTTCACAGCAGTGTGAGTCTTGTAACTCTGGGGCCTCCCTTCTCATATAGGAGGGAAAGTTTCGGTTTAGAAGAAGACGCTACACAAATGAGACCATGGCATCCAGAAGGCACGGAACAGGCACTGGACTGCACCTGAGCGTTTGCTACGCTGGGCCTAGGCAGAGTGCTGACTGCAGGCTGTTGTCCTCACCAGTTGCCTCATTTATAACCTGGAGTCAATCACTGTATTCTAGGTTGTTCTTTACTGGTATTATAACCTTCCAATGCTTCCTGAAATGGTTACTTAAGGCTTATCTAATTTCATGTTTTAAAAGTCCACCTTACTTTTACCTATGTGTCTGGGGGGTTTGGATTTAAATACCAGGTTCTCTCTCTCCCTTCCTCCTCCCTCCCTCCCTCCCTCCCTCCCTCCCTCCCTCCCTCCCTCTCTCTCTCTCTCTCTCTCTCTCTCTCTCTCTCTCTCTCTCTCTCTGTGTGAACATTCTGATGTGTCCATTTAACACAATTTGTCATATGCCTCTGATGCAGCCAATACAATGCCAAGTGCTGGAAATAAACAGTACCTGCTAGACTGTTTGAGGTGCCACATATAGGGACAGCAAATTCTTAAGATTGCAGAGGAAGCTGGGCATGATGGCACAGACCTATACTCCCAGATACTTAGGATGCTGAAGCAGGAGGTTCTGTAACTTTGAAGGCTGCCTCTGCCTCTTAGTGATAGTCAGTCTCCAAGTACAAAGTATAAACGGGGCTGGGGGTATAACTATACGGTTGAGCACCTCAGGCCTTAAGTTCAACCTCCAATCCTGATAATGATAATTAATAATAATGGTGATGATGACAACAACCCAGAGCGAATTAGGTAAAGACTTCAACAGCAACTGAGCTCAAATGAGATACAGAGCAAGTAATCAAGGCCAAGGGACAGAACTGGGAGGCATGGACTCAGGCAGAAGAAAATGGCACACTTCCAGAAATACAGCAATGAAGAACACAGGTTGTTGGGCTTTGGAGCCTAGACAAGAGGTTCATTTTGAACAGTTGTTGTGGTGATTTGAAAAAAAAATGGCCCCCAAAGGGAGTGGCACTATTAGGAGGTGTGGCTTTTTTGGAGTAGGTGTGGTCTTGTGGGAGAAAGTGGAGGTGGGCATTGAGGTCTCATACAAGCCACGCCCAGTGTCTCAGCCCACTTCCTCAGTTACCTCTTTAGTACCACGTCTGCTACCCACTGCCGTGTCCCACCATGATGATAATGGACTGAACCTCTGAACTGTAAGCCACCCCAATTAAACATTTTCCTTTGTAAGAGTTGTCCTGGTCATGGTGTCTCTTCACAGGAATAGAAACCCCAACTAAGACAGTTGTTCAGGGCAGTCTCTCCACAGCACCATAGAGGGAGGCTTGGGAAAAATATTAAGTCTCTGATTGTGAATGTTTGAGATGCTATAAAAAAAAGGGGCTGTGTTGGTTAGTTTTGTCAACTTGACACAAGCTCAGGTCATCTAGGAAGATGGATCCTCAACTGAGAAAACACCTCCCTCAGATTGGCTTGTAGGCAAGTCTGTGGAAGCTTTTTTTTATTAATAAATAATGTGGCCAATTCTGCTCTGGGCAGGTGGCCTGGGTTGTGTATAAGAAAGCAGGCTGGGCAAGCCATGGAGAAACAAGGCAGTAAGCACTGTTCCTCATGGTTTTGTTTCAGTTCCTGTCTCGACTTCCTTCAACACAGTCTGTAACACGGATGTTTATGACAAAGCAAACCCTTTCTACCCCAAGTTGCTTCTGGTCAGTGTTTTATTACAGAGACAGAAAACAAACCAGAACAGGGACTAACATGGAGCATCTGCAGTGGGCTGGTACAGGGCCAAGGTATAATACAGGAAAGCATGACTGCTTCTGAGTCTAAAGATGCTGGTCTTACCTCAGTACTGGGGCAAATGCTGAGTCCAAGTTGTGCTGATGGCCTTGCTGAACAGACTTCTTCCTTCCTCACAGGCAGCTCCCAGTTTAGCTGCACTGCATTTGGAAGTTGTTGCCCGTCAGCCCTGTGATTGGTTTAATATGACTAGCAGATTGCTGGTAGCTTATTTATAACCACGATGCTTGGTTGCTTGGTTAGGTAGCCAAAACCTGTTCCATTAAGATTCAGTTTCAGTTAAGTGTTCAGGGGGTTAGTGGGCAAATACAACTTACATTAAAAATAGACAAAGAGGTGCACTGAGACAGCAACAAATTATCCAGCTCTTTGCATTTGAACCTGAAGATTCTAATGAGGTGTTATAGCCAAGTAGACAAGTCATAGCCTTGTCTGATCTTTGATGGCTGTGAGTGTCTGGCATCTTAGGTCTTTGGGTCTTGGCTATGAATAGTCTCATTGCACTAAAAAATTGTGTTTCCTACTTAGTGGAATCTTGTGGTCCAGTCTGTAATAAAAGCAAGTGGGGTTAGCTATGTAAGCCCTCCTGGAGATGCCCTGTTATTTGACCTTATATGATATGCCTAGTACTAGAGGGAGTTTATACACTGGAGGGGAAAAACAAATTAAAACAGATGGATATACCTATTGTTTAAAAATTGGTTGGTGGGCCTAGAGCAAGGCTCAGAGGTTAAGGGCACTGGCTGCTCATCCCAATGATCTGGGTTTGACCCCCAGCATCAGCAGGGCAGCTAACAAACCCCTGTAACTCCAGTCCCAAGGAATCTGATGTACCCTTCTGTCTTCTCATTGTGCAGGCGGTACACAAACAATACATGCAGGCAAAACAGCCATACACACAAAAACAATAAAATAAAATAGAGAAAAATTGATTTCAGAATATAGCAATAATGTGGTATGGATTCCTTTGGTTTTTTTTTTCCTCCTCATTTGCTGAAGTTATTTTGAGATGGCTATATTAACAGCAGGGATGCATGCATGCTATGAGTCAGCAGTGAGCTGCTCTGGGACTTAAGGGGGTGGACACCTGGGAAGTAGGTGAAGTGATAATACCTTATGTTTGACGCTGATTCAGGGTAGGTCATTGGGAAGCCAGAGTTTGTGACTTAGAACTGACAGCCTTTGCTATCTTGATTTCCCTCAATCCCTGGCATATGAAGACTTCACTAGAGTCAGGCATATGCAAATTAGATTTCCCTTCCTAAACCAAGGTTAAATAAAAGAGAAAGCTATGAAAGGTTGCTTATGGCAGCAAAGATTTTTGAGGGCTTGAGGATGAATTTCCTTTAAAGCCAGGTTGGATCTCATTGCTAAGCAAAAAGGGGAAAGGAGATCCGGGCATAAGCACATGCCAGTCCAGAATTTGTGCTGAGAGGTTCTGTTCCCGACCCTCGGTAATTAGGGCATTTTCCTGGGACTCGAGAAGCAGTTGGCAAGGAAGCCCAAGGAGGGCGTTCCCTTTGCAGGAAGCAGTTCCCAGCGCTGCTCCCTGGAAATAATGATTCCTTTTCTCTTTTCTGGCTCAGCCTGGGATGGAAAACACATTTGATGCAAGTTGTGGTCAGGAGGGAAGGCAAACAAGGGGACTTGGAGAGGTAGGAGGGGGAGCTGCAGCCTGGGCAGCCACACCCATTGGCCAGGCTGGGCACCACGGCAGTCCCATCTGAGTGCCCGTGTGCGTGTCAACTTCACACATACTCTCCACGCATAAGCTCTCTACGCTATTCCAGCTCACCACGCCGCCACACACACCCATGTTCAACCTATGCAGTTATCATGCTCACACAGTGGTGTCCACATCCCCAGTCACCGCGCTTAACTCCCCCCCCATACACACACACTCTCGACCATTCGACTTACACACAGGCAACACACAGCCATTACATGTCACTCAGTGAACACCCCCCTCCCCAACCCCATATATCAGGACACACACCTAACACATCCTCCCGCCCTAGCTGCCTCATGCCCGGAGCCCAGCACTAATTCCGGGCGGCTGGCGCTGGGAAGAACCCTCTTGGTCTCGGGTCCGGGATCACCGCCGGCTGCTGCTCCGCCGCTCCCGGACTGTCGCGGGGGCGAGTGCGAGCCCTGCAGGACGCCTGGCACACCAGGGAGGGAGTGCCAGGGCCAGGCTGGACCGTGTGCCTAAAGGCTGGGGGAGAAAGCAGCAGTAGCCAGAGCCATCCCCACCCCCACGAGAGGGCAGGCGCGTGCGGGACGTGTGCGTGTAGGGACCCAGCTGACCGTCCTCGCGGCCCTCCCTCGGCTTCGAGAGGCGTGTGGGACCGACTCGCGGGGGCTAGGCTCGCAGAGGGGCGCGGCAGCCTAAGTGTGCGCGTGCGCGTGCAGGCGTGGCGGCCCGAGGGGAGGGGGCATCGGAGAGGAGGGAGCAGCAGGGAGGACGACAGAGAGAAGGGAGGTGGGAGCAGCGAGGAGGGTGGAGAGGAGAAAGAAGGGAGGAGGGTACCGGAGAAGGGACCGGGGCGCGGGGAGGTGGCAGGCCCGGCCCGGTCGCTGCGCCCTCCCGGGGCGGCTCCTCGGCCAGCCGGTCCCCGCCGCGCCTGCAGCGGGAGCCCGCCCGCGTCCTGCCCGCCCGGCGCCTCCGCTCCCGGGCTCCGGGTCCCCGCTCCGCGCCGGGAGAGATGAGTGCGGCCGCGGCGCCCGAGCGCGGCTGGAAGAGCGAGAAAGTGGACGAGGCACAGGCCCTGGCGCGGAGCTGCGCCGCCCGCAGACCCGACTTCCAGCCGTGCGACGGGCTGTCCATCTGTGCCACGCACAGCCACGGCAAGTGCTTCAAGCTGCACTGGTGCTGTCACCTGGGATGGTGTCACTGTAAGTGGAACCGCGTCGGCCTGCGGTCGCCCGCCTGCGGCCCGGCGCTGCCGGGACGACGGGAGGAAATCCCGGGGGAGCCTGGCTGCAGTCACAAAAGGGGAACCTCTCTGGCCCAGGGCAGCCTGTGTCTGAGCTTCTTAGCTTTTTCTTTTTTTGTGACTGCTCAGACGTGGTAAAGCTGCCAGAGCGAGTCTTTCCCGGGGTGGGCGTAAGGATATGCCCCCATTCACTTTCTTACCTTTTCTTTCTGGCTGCTATTTTACAGAAAGAGCCCATATAAGTCCAAGTGATTCTCATTTATTGAGACTGAGAATGAAGTATGAAGGATGGCTTCTAAGAAGTTAAAAGGAACAGTTTGAAGAGCAAACTCCTTAGACATTCAGTTACAGCATTTGAGCCAAGCCAGAACTAGTTTAGACCAGGCCCTTTCTATTTATCCTGCAAGTTTTAAATAGATTAAACTTAAGTATCCATTTAATCAGAATTCCACAATTTGATTACTCCGGCATTTAGCTTAATCTCACTGATGAATCATTTCTTTTTAGAAACATTCTAAAGCCTGTTTCCACATAATCTTAGATTAGAGGGCTTTAGAGTGTTTAAGACACATTTCCAAGTGATCTTCAATCAAACTTATTTTTCCTGTTATTCAGAAGCAAATGGCTCACAAGGAGAGATATGATGTGTAACAAATCTTTATTTACATTGATTGAGACTACTTGAATATCTTAGTTGCGTTTATGAGTTAAAGGATAGAAAAATCTTTGCTTTTTCCATGTAGATCCAAGGTCCATGGGCTGAGAACAAGCATTGATTTGTTGTTCCCTGTGCTGATGGGGTCCAGCAGAGAGTTTTTGCTTCTCATCACAAGTGTGGCTTCAGCATAGGAAACATGGTGCTGAAGTACACAGTGTGATGGACTCAACGGGGGTCCGCCTCCCGTGTGTCCTGTTCATGCTGTGGGACATGAGGGAGTTCAGATGGCCCTGGTCAGCACTGTCCCTTCCAGGGAGTGTTGAATCCTGGGAAGTGTGCCTCCAGTCAAATGGATTCTTCCTTGATTCTCCAGTCTTCCTTATACATTCTTTCCTCTGTTCTTACATGTACCTTATGAAATCGTGTGTGTGTGTGTGTGTCTGTGTGTGTGTGTGTGCGCGCGCGTGTGCCATGCCTCACATGTGGAGGTCAGAGGATAACTTTGTGGATTTGGGGGAATCCAACTCGGATTGCCAGTTTATGAGGCAAATGACTTCAGTGAACGATCTTGCTATCTCCCTTCTTACTAAATCTTACACAACAGTCTCATTCTTCTCAAATCATGTTGGTCTCCACTTCAGATATGCATATTTGAATATACCAAAAATTTCTTGCACACATAGCCATTCTTTTTCTTCATCCCTGGTATTCTTGGTAGTCCTGTTTCTGAACCACCCTTCCTGCTGTCCTTCCTCTCACAGAGTAACATCCATGGTTTTGTCCTGACTGTCAGGTGAGAGGTACCTGAGTTCCGGTCTGGCCGACTTTCAGCTTTGAGATGCTACTCTGCCTCTGCCTAGCTGCATCACCTTAGCCTTCTCCTAGCTACCACACCAAGCTTGCTGCTGCCCCCTCAAACTAAGCTTGTTGTCTGTCAATGCCATTAAGGAAGCTCTAAAACCGGTGACAATTAATCCACAGCTTGCCCCTCTCAAAGCTGTGTGCATGTTTTTGGAGACAAGTGCTAATACCTTAGGGATTTTCTCCCTTTTATTGTATGAGAATTAGCCCATTTTTCTAAGTTACTGTGATTTTAGTCTTGGCCCTATTATTGGATGTGCATAGCTTTTGTATGTTTACGTGTGTATATGATTCCTCCTGAGTTCATGTCATTGTGCCTGTAGTAAACACAGGCTTCCATGCTTGGCTTTTATGTGGCCTCTGCAGATTTGAACTTGGGTCTTTTCACTGATAAAGTAGTTAAGAGGGAAGGCCACAGAGTCCTGAATTTTGCTGATAGACCTGTACTTGAAGCTGATAGCAGCTCCTTAAGGAGCACTTGTGGCGGCTTCTCCATGGTTACCTAGTTGCCTAAATGCCCTATTATCATCTCGTGTTGTTTGTGTCCATCTAGGTCAATGGGAACTTGGTCAACTAAATTGCTGCAGTCTCATCAACACAGGGATTTTACCGCCGCCTCTTAATCTGTGCTCTTTCTATACGCAATCCTCTTTAAAAAGGAAATTAGACTGAGCTTGAATAACTCAGATTGGTTACACGATGCTTCTGTTTTCTTTTAAGAGACTAGGGACTGATTTTAAATAATCCAAAGTTAGAAAATGATTTCCAACATGCATACTGATGTTGGTAGTTCTTTATGATTTTTTTTCTGTATGTGTGTGGTGGCAGTGTATATATAGATATGTGTGTGTGATGTCTGTCTGTACACAAGTATGTGAGTGAGGGTATGTGTGTATGTATAAATATATGTATGTAATATCTATGACTGTTCATGTATGTGTGTTTGTGTGTGAGTGAGGGTGTGTGTAGTATCTGTGTTTGTACATGTGTGTGAGTGAGGGCTGTGGTGTCTGTGTGTGTATAAGTATGTGTGTGTAATGTTTATGTCTGTACACACTGTGTGTTTGTGTGTGTGTGAAGGTGTGTGAGTCTCCGGGGTCTGTCCTCCACCTTCCACGTTTGGGTCAGAGTCTCTTTGTTGTCTGCACACTGGCTGGACTGTCAGCTTCTGTGGACTCTTCTGTGTTCACTTCCTGCCTCGGGGTAGGAGCACTGGGGTTGCAGACACAGGCTTCCATGCTTGGCGTTTATGTAGGCTCTGCAGATTTAAACTTGGGTCTTCTCACTTGCATGACAAGAACTTGGCTCACTGAGTCATCTCCCCAGACCTTCATCTATTCTTTCTGGTCTCTGCCAGGCTCCCGTTCAGTGCTTCCTGCACTGGCAGTGATTCAGGGGTCTCATTCATGAGCAGCTGTGGTACCCAAAGCTGCCAGGTGTTCTGTTTCTGTTCCCTCGCTTAGTTGGGTATCAGTTCTTACTACGCTTTTTACCAAAATAAAATTGTTCTTGAGAGAAATAGTTAACATATTTGAGAAACTTGTTTTTTGGCACAACTCTTATAATCTGTTGTATCTTACATATTTTCTCTTCCTGAGACATTATAGAAACAAAATAAAGATATGAATACAGCTGCATCCCATCCTTTAAACAGAGTCTAAGGGTATGCCCCATGGATTTTTGTAATTCCTTTAAAGTCATATATGATATAGATAAGGACACCATTGGTTTGCTCATTGAATCTCAGAATGCAAAAATGAGAGAGATCTCATCATACTCAAGAAAGAGTCAGAGCAATTCAGCAAGTTCAGTATACATGATGGATGTTATATATGTGATGGATGCTAAAACTGTGAAGTTCATAAATATATAAAATAGAAAAAGGTGAAAATATATTCATGTTTACAGAAGACATGTAAATATATATACTCATAGGTGCATTCTTGCATAATTATTGTGTTTGATTAATTACTAGTTTTTGAGGAATAAACTAGGACTATGTTACTTAAGCTTTTCCTAATAAGAATGATTTTTGAGTTCAATGAATGAATGAATGAATGTTTCTAAGAAAAAGAAAAAGGAAAAACTGGCTTTGCCACAGAAGAGGAGTGGGAAAGAGAGTAAACCATGGGAAGATGTTTGAAAGTTAACGTTTGTCCCTGAGTAGACATTTAGAAGGAAGAAGAAAGCAGAGATGGGAGAATTTGATAGATGTTCAAGGTGACATTCATGGATATGAGTAGACTTGGGGTGGGGAAAGGATTGTGAAGTTTATTAAGAACAACATCTAGGATTCTGTCCTTTACAGGTAGAATGAAAGGAGAGCAAGTGAGATGGGGGTGTGTGAAACCAAGTTTGGATTTGTTGAGTTTATGTTGTCTTAGTTGCATACAGGGTTCGAGAACTCAGAGAACTTTGGGCTAAAGGTTGTATGGAAGTTTTCTGCTTCCTTAGAGTTGGAGCCATGGTGAAGTGTGGTATCTCCAAGAGCAAGAAGACAGCGCAGAAACTAGAGATTAGACTTTCCCTTAGACCAGTGTTGAGAGTCAATGCATGAGGATACATTCTCTGCCAGAGAACCTGAGATGACCAGAGAAGAAACATCCTCAGAGCAGAATGCTGAAGGGTGAAGCACAGTGAACCCTGGAAGAAGGAACAGTGAGATGTAACCAGTACTCATCCGGTTGTTCCTTAGATATTGCTAAGAACACTCCTGATTTTCCTTTTTTTGCTCAAAAGAGGATGAAAGATTTAGTCCTGCAATCATCACTTCAGGCATATACTGACATGTTAGTCAAAGCAATTGGAGATGGATTCTTCACAGAGTCCCAGGAGCTCAGAATTAGGACACTGAAGCGATTGTTCACGTGTGCTCACTGATTACTTTGTGACAGACTAAACTGAATATGCCGAGGACAGTATCCACAATTGATGCCATTGTGTCCATGTTAAAGTTGATAAAGAAGACCCCGCGAAGTCCAGCAGCTTCCCAAGGGCGTATAGCTAGTGAGGACAAGAGATTGTGTCTGGATCCAATATTCCCGATGCTACAATCTTGACCCAGAACCAAAATAGAGAAACTTAGAGTTAATGGGCAGAAACAACAGCTCAGGTCCATTAGAGCCAGCGATGCAGAGAGTGTTTTAGAAATGGGCACGTGTCATTTACAGTAATGAAACCCAGAAGAATGAGAGCAGTGGCGAGGTTGCTGGATTTGGAGAATAAGATTCAAGTGAAGGGTTATGAAAGAGAAAGTGATTAGAAAGTGACAGGTGGGGCTGAGTAGGTGTGCATGGTATGATGGAGATGCCACGAGCAGAACTCTTGCAGAGTTGGCTTCATACAGTCACACAATAGATAAGCTCAATTTCCTGCAGAATGCATCTCAGAACATGTCTGTCCCTTTCAGGTTGAAGGCAGTCAGAGTGGGACTTAATGTC